CTGAATTTCTGAATTTCTGAATTTCTGAATTTCTGAATTTCTGAATTTCTGAATTTCTGAATTTCTGAATTTCTGAATTTCTGAATTTCTGAATTTCTGAATTTCTGAATTTCTGAATCTCTGAATTTCTGAGATTCAAGATTTTTGAATTTCTGAATTTCTGAATTTCTGAATTTCTGAATTTCTGAGATTCAAGATTTTTGAATTTCTGAATTTCTGAATTTCTGAATTTCTGAATTTCTGAATTTCTGAATTTCTGAATTTCTGAATTTCTGAATTTCTGAATTTCTGAATTTCTGAATTTCTGAATTTCTGAATTTCTGAATTTCTGAATTTCTGAATTTCTGAATTTCTGAATTTCTGAATTTCCGAATTTCTGAATTTCCGAATTTCTGAATTTCCGAATTTCTGAATTTCTGAATTTCTGAATTTCTGAATTTCTGAATTTCTGAATTTCTGAATTTCTGAATTTCTGAATTTCTGAATTTCTGAATTTCTGAATTTCTGAATTTCTGAATTTCTGAATTTCCGAATTTCTGAATTTCCGAATTTCTGAATTTCCGAATTTCCGAGTTTCTGAGATTCAAGATTTTTGAATTTCTGAATTTCTGAATCTCTGAATTTCTGAATTTCTGAATCTCTGAATTTCTGAATTTCTGAATTTCTGAATTTCTGAATTTCTGAGATTCAAGATTTTTGAATTTCTGAATTTCTGAATTTCTGAATTTCTGAATTTCTGAGATTCAAGATTTTTGAATTTCTGAATTTCTGAATTTCTGAATTTCTGAATTTCTGAATTTCTGAATTTCTGAATTTCTGAATTTCTGAATTTCTGAATTTCTGAGATTCAAGATTTTTGAATTTCTGAATTTCTGAATTTCTGAATTTCTGAATTTCTGAATTTCCGAATTTCCGAGTTTCCGAATTTCCGAGTTTCTGAATTTCCGAATTTCTGAATTTCTGAATTTCTGAATTTCTGAATTTCTGAATTTCTGAATTTCTGAATTTCTGAATTTCCGAATTTCCGAGTTTCTGAATTTCCGAATTTCTGAATTTCTGAATTTCTGAATTTCTGAATTTCTGAATTTCTGAATTTCCGAATTTCTGAATTTCCGAATTTCTGAATTTCCGAATTTCCGAGTTTCTGAGATTCAAGATTTTTGAATTTCTGAATTTCTGAATCTCTGAATTTCTGAATTTCTGAATCTCTGAATTTCTGAATTTCTGAATTTCTGAATTTCTGAATTTCTGAGATTCAAGATTTTTGAATTTCTGAATTTCTGAATTTCTGAATTTCTGAATTTCTGAATTTCTGAATTTCTGAATTTCTGAATTTCTGAATTTCTGAATTTCTGAATTTCTGAATTTCTGAATTTCTGAATTTCTGAATTTCTGAATTTCTGAGATTCAAAATTTTTGAATTAACTTCGGAAAAATGCAAAATTTTTCGAAAAATAGAGAAAAATTTCTATCTGCTCGCTTTCTGTAAATTCGGATTAAAGTGGAATTTTATAGAAAAAACTACTGAATATCAATGTTTATTTCTCTTCATAAAACAAAAGGAAATATTGAGTTATCAGTTATCTATTGTTGTTCTTCACTTCTTGCTCTTCTTCGTGCTCTTCTTGGAACTCTTCATTCCGCCACCACCACTGCCTCCTCCACCTCTCTTCTTGCGACAGCATAACAAAAAGACCACGACACCAATGATGCCAATCAGAAGGAGAGCAACACCTCCACAGACAGCAAAGAACCAAATCGGAATGTTAAGAATTGATTGATGATACCGTACCGTAGCTTACCTGAGTATAAAATGGCCCAGAGCAAAATTTCAGTTCGTCGCAGCAGATTACTTGTCCATATGTGCCCTTGGTTCCCTCTTGGAACGACGGGGTTGCCATGTCTGGAAAAAAGTTTGGTATCTGTCAGAAAGTCTACCAGAAAAACAATTAACATACATTTATCGCATTCCACTTTCAAAAACTCTTTCTGCTTTGATCCGCATTCGGTGAGAGACGATTTCATATCTTCCACCGCATCTTTCTCTCCCCATAGCTTAGCAAAAGCCTCAGAAAAAAATGACTTGATATCCGGGTCATCAAGTGTTCAGAACAAGAAGTTCAGAACATTTCTCAGGAAGTTCGCTCAATTTTTTTAGCTTTTGAATCACAATTTGTTGCTGCTGAGGCGGCAATTGTTGAAGCCGAGCCTGGATTTGTTGCTGTAAAAGTATCAGTTGTTGCTGTTGGCTCGCCATTTTCGGAGTGCGAATTCAATTAAATTTGAAACTGATTTAAGTTTTAATCGATGGAGACTCGTTGATTTTATCAGTAGATTTTCATCAGGAAAAAAGTGCTTGATTCTTATCAAAATAGAAAAAAGTCGTGTCAGTTTTTATAATTAAAGATGTTATCTACATGTAAATCAGCACAAAAAACTTATAAGAGACCGCATTAAGCAATTTTCAGATTTTCTACTACACGTTCATAACCTGGAAAACTTTAGATTATTTTTTCAGGAAGAATGAAAATGTCCATCATGTTATCAGTTCCATCAAGTTCCATGGATTTCTATCAATTACGATCCGGCTCTTTTTTGCTACAATCTGTCTTTTGAGATCTTTGTAATAATGTATAGCAGACTAAAAAAATTTTTTAACTGATCTCAAAAAGACGGAAAATAAAATTTCATGAAAAATTTATGGATTAGTTAAGAAATAAACATTTAGTCATCTTGAAATTCTCACAACCCGCACTGCAGTTGATGTCTTAATCAAAAAAAAACTGATTATCAAAGTTTATTTCTCTTCATAAAAAAAGGAAAGATCAAGTTATCAGTTATCTAATACTATTTTCATTTATTGCTTTTGCTCTTCTTTGTGCTCTTCTTGGAACTCGTCATTCCACCACCATCCTTACTTCCTCCACCTCTCTTCTTGCGAATACAGAAGAAGTAGACGACGATACCAATGATGCCGAACAGAAGAAGAGCAACACCTCCACAGACAGCAAAGAACCAGGTCCGAAATTTCAGAATTGGCCAATGATACCGTACCACAGGTTACCTGAGTATAAAATGGGTCAGTGCAATTGTCCAAAGTTTTGCAGCAAACATTGTAGCCAAGCGTTTCCTTATCTGCGCTTTTGGCGTTAACTGAATAAAAAGAAACCGTTTTTTCAATAAGAAAAATGAGCAAAATACATTTATCGCATGCCTCATTGAATGCTTCTTTTATTTTTGGTGTGCAAGTGCTGAAAAACTTCGAATCATCCTTCGAAAACTTTCTTCCTTCTTTTTTGAAAATCACAACAAGAGCATCAACGAAATCCGCCTTCTGATCCAAAACTTGAGTTGGGAAAGCAGAACATGTATGAATATCTTGTAAATAATTTTCTATCAATCTTTGTTGTCCTTCAGTGAATTCGGAACACACTTTCAGTTCACCACAGCAAAGACCATACGCCAATGACTTCCTATCTATTGGTCTGTTCACTACTGAATAAAAAACTATGAATTTAAAAACTAGAAGTATAATTCACCATCTTTGCATTCATTCTTAATTATTGCAATTTCGTCCCGTGAGCAAACGCCAAGAATATTTTTCAGATTTGGCATAGATGGCATTGAGGCCATTCCCTTAAGAGTAACTGAAACTAAGTTACTTGGTTGACCCTGGGCGCCATTGCAAAGTGGCATCATTTTTGAAAGTAGAATCCGTTAAATTTGAAACTGATTTGAGTTGGAATCGATGGAGGCTCGTTGATTATATCAGACTTTGATCAGAAAAAAGGAGATCCTTATCAAAGATTTTTATTTAAAAAAAAAACCTAACTTTTAATGAGCAGTGTGGACAATCCTTATCAGGAAAGATACATAGGGGATTGTTATCTAAATCAAGAAAAATCCGAGTATCCGAGTGTCCGAGTATCGCTGTATCCCATTATCCCATTATCCCATTGTCCCATTATCCCATTATCCCATTATCACATTATCCCAGTATCCCAGTATTCATGATCTTAAGATCTCAAGATCCAAGAACCAGTAAAAAAAAGAAATGAAATCCGAAAAAATTGGATTTTTCGAAAGATTTATTTTCAATTTGTTTGTAGAAGGACCTAGATGAATCCTTCTCAATTTTTCCGTACAAGATTATGCAATTCGAGAAATTCATAGTGAAGTGGAATTTCATAAAATAAAAGTTTCTGATTATCAAAGTTTATTTATCAGTATAAGTTTATCAAAAACCAAGTTATCAATTTTACACTCCTGTTCTTCACTCTCTACTGTTCCTTGATGTGCTCTCAGAGCTTTTCGTTCCACCTCTACACTTTGCCCCGCCTTCAAATAATTTCTTCTTGCGAAACCCATCATTCTTTTTTCTTCTTTGTGTGTCATTCCGTTTCTTCCCAGGAGGCAACTTTCCTAGAGGAAAAATCCGCCAGACCGAATTTGACCTACCGTAAATTTTCTGGGGTTTGCAGGTCAGAAGAACAAAGAGAAGAGATTTTAGAGACTTTGATTAGGTTCTGGAGTAGTACAAGAAAAGTGAGGAGCGGAGCGACGATCTCGCGCCGCAGGCGCCCCAGCCAGCTGTTTGAAGCGCCGGAGGCGCGGCAAACAGGCTGGTATTTTTAAAATCTGAAACTTCAATTTTCAAAATCTTCTCAATCCGAAACTCAAAAGCTTTATGATTCATTTCAAAGATTTTGTTGAGGATCCACAACTTACTGATTTACTTGGCCAACCACGGAACACTTTAGGAACTAGAAGGCTTTGGTATTTTCTGATTCCTGGAACTGATCGAAAAATTATGGAAATCGATTTAAGCAATAGTTTGTTAATCGAGAGTGTTCATCACTATCATTTTTTTGGATTTGACTGGTTTGACTAAATTTGAATTTTTTGTCATTTTTAAAGTTAAATATCTTTCTTATTAATAAAACGCTAGAGGCGTCTGTTGGTCCCCCTGTCAGTCTGTCGACTTTTGAAAAGCTTGAAAAATATGTATAGATTACGTGACCCTTTAAGAAAACGTGAATTGTGGAACGACGAACGAGTACAAAAAACGGCTCTTTATGACAAGGGGGGGGGGCCATGAGAAAAGGGGGCCCATGAGAATAGGGGGGGGGGGGGGAGCCCAAGTCAAAAGGGGGCCCATGAGAATAGGGGGGCCCAAGTGAAAAGGGGGGGGGTCCAAATGGAAAAATTATGCCTAAGTTAAGATTTATCAATTTTTTCAAGTTTTGTGGTTGTTCGCACTAAAATTTCGTGCTTAGAACATTTTTCATAATTTTTCGAAATTTTCAGTTTATGTCATTTTTTTGTATAATTATTTTGTTCCTAAGCCTAAATTAATCTAATATTAGCTTAATAAATTGGAATTACACAGTTACAACAGCAAAAACGGTGTTGTTCATGGAAAAAACAACCTAAACTGAACTTTTTTCGAAGTTATGAATTTTCATGGAAACAAACGCAAAGCACGAAATTTTCATAAAAACAGTGGCAAAACTTGAAAAAATCAAAAATATTAACTTAGCCATAATTTTTACCAATGGGCCCCCCCCCCTATTCTCATGGGCCNCTCTGAAAATTCTGTATTTCTAAATTAATGAACATTCTGAAACTCTGAGTGAAGAAAAATTCTATGAATTCTGAAATTTCTGAAAACTCTGAACTTCTGAATGAATGAAAATGCTAAAATTATGAAAACTCTGAATCTCTGATAATCGTGATATTGAGAAAATCATAACTCCTGAAAAATCTGAAATTCCGGATTTTTTCTGGGCCATAGAAATATGTACTAAATTTCTGAATTTCTGAATTTCTGAATTTCCGAATTTCTAATTTTCTGAATTTCTAAATTTCTGAATTACTGAATTCCCGAAATTTCTGAAAATCTGAAATTTCTGAAAAACTGAAATTCCGGATTTTTTCTGGGCTATTGAAATATAAACATTCCGAGAATCTCTCATAGTAAATACCGAAGAAGATTAAGATATTTAATGCAGCCACTCAGAATTACAAGAAATTTCAATACTCCGATTAATACCAAAAATGTCTTAAGTTAGTCTGAAAATTACGAATTTCTACGAAATTCAGCAACTCATTTTTTTGTCATAAATTTCCTCTGTTTTCTTTAACACTTTTCCAGATTCTTCAATTTTCCAGTATCCCAGTATCCCAGTATCCCAGTATCCCAGTATCTCACGTATCCCAGTATCCCAGTATCCTCGTATCCATGATCTTAAGATCTCAAGATCCAAGAACCAGTAAAAAAAGAAATGAAATTCGAAAAAATTGGATTTTTCGAAAGATTTATGTTCAATTTGTTTGTAGAAGGGCCTAGATGAATCCTTCTCAATTTTTCCGTACAAGATTCTGCAATTCGAGAAATTCATATGTGGAACTTCATAAAATAAAAGTTTCTGATTATCAAACTTTATTTATCAGTATAAGTTTATCAAAAACCAAGTTATAAAATTTTCATTGGAAAATTTTCAATTTTTCAACCGCGTGCCGGCCCGAGATTTTGCAACTATGCTAAAAATGAAAATCCTCGCGAAAAACCTGGACAAATAAAGTGTGAGCGCAAAATTTTTGGAAATTAGTTTGCTCATTTCAGAGCCATATTTGAGCACAAAACATTATACTACTGTAGTTCGAAATACAATTTATCAAGTTTATTATCAAACCAGCGGGCTGGTGCGCCTTCCGCGCAATTCAATCTAGTTTTTTGGGCTCTTTATGACAAGGGGGGGGGGCATGACAAAAGGGGGGGCCCATGGGTAAAAGGGGGGCCCAATGGAAAGCTGGTTGATTATATCAAACTTTGATCATAAAAAAGGAGATCCTTATCAAAGATTTTTATTTAAAAAAAAAACCTAACTTTTAATGAGCAGTGTGGACAATCCTTATCAGGAAAGATACATAGGGGATTGTTATCTAAATCAAGAAAAATCCGAGTATCCGAGTGTCCGAGTATCGCTGTATCCCATTATCCCATTATCCCATTGTCCCATTATCCCATTATCCCATTATCACATTATCCCAGTATCCCAATATTCATGATCTTAAGATCTCAAGATCCAAGAACCAGTGAAAAAAAGAAATGAAATCCGAAAAAATTGGATTTTTCCAAAGATTTATTTTCAATTTGTTT